TACTAAATGGGAAAAAATATTTGCAAATGATATTTCCAATAAGGGGATAATATTCAGAGTATATAAAGAACTTATAGAACTCAACACCAACACACACACACATACACACACCCACCAAAGAATCTGCCTAAAAAATTCCTAGAGGACCTGAAGAGACATTTCTTTAAAGAAGACATACAGATGGCCAATAAACAAATGAAGGAGGCTGTCCATCAACAATTATCAAGAAAATGCCAGTCAAAACCACAATGAGATATCACCTCATCCAAATCAGAATGGATAATGATAATAAAAAGTTATGAAATCATACATGTCAGTGAGCATGTGGAGGAAAGGGATCCCTTATACACTGTTGGTGGGAATGCAAATGTTCCATCCACGATCAAAAACAGTATCAAGATTCCTCAAAATATGAGAACTAGAAATACCATACAACCCAATTACTCCTCTACTGCGTATTTACTCCCCCAAAACAAAAATGCTAATCCAAAAAGGTATAGGCACCTCTACATGTATTGCAGCATTATTTCCATGAGACAAGATATGGAAGCAACATAAATGTCCATCGATAGAAGGATGGAGAAAGATGTGGTATATACACACACTGGAGTATTACTGAGCCATTAAATGTAACGAAATCTTGCCATTTGCGACAACATGGGTGGACCTAGAGAGTATTATGTATGTTAAGTGAGATAAGGCAGACAGAGAAAGGGAAATACCGTATGAGTATACTTACAGGTGGACCCTAAAACACAAAACACACGAACAAACAAACAATAACAGAAACAGACACATAAATACAGATTACAAACTGGTGGTTGTCAGAGGGTAGGGGTGGGAGGATGGGTGAAACAGGTTAAGGGACTAAGAGGTACAAACTTCCAGTTATAAAATAAGTCATGGGGATGAAAAGGACAGCAGAGAGTATATAGTCAGTGAAGACTGCACTTTGTGTGGTGACAGATGGCAACGAGACTTACTGTGGCAAGCATTTAGTGTTGTATATAATTGTCAAAACACTATGACATATACCAGCAACTAATATACTGTATGTCAACTATCTTCAAATGAAAAAAAAAATTTAAAAAGGAAAGTCCTAAATCTTGAAAACTTTCAATAATCAGATTAATTGTACTATTCTCCTTCTTTGTTTGATTTATTTCATTTGTTCGAAATGTTTACTAAAAGAAAATATTAAAAATAATTAGGAAAACATTGAAGACCAGAAGGATTTTTAAATTTTCTCTAGGAAATTACCTTCCCTGTCTAGAGCTAATATCCAATTGTTAGCCACACCACATGGGGCTACTGAGCACTTGAAACGTTCCTGGTCTGAAATGAGAGGTGCTATAAAAATACAGAATATTTACTGGATTTCAAGGACTTTGTACAAAGAAAGGACCAACTGCTCAAAAGGGTAATTTGTACCATTCACAATTTAAATATATTTATTATATGTTAAGGAAACAATATCACATACCTATATTAGGTTTAATAAAATGTATTAAAATTAATTTCATCTTGTTTTAATATAACTATTAGAAAATATAAAGTTAAAAAAAGGAAATAGAAAATCATATACACACACACACACACACACACACACACATACATGGCTGGGGGGATATAGCTGAGGGAAGGAAAACACAGCTGTAGTGCAGAAAGAAGCATGAACAGGTTCCTTATAAGGTTGAAAGCTGGGGTTGGATAGATCAGGAGATGGAACTTAGTGCAGAATATCCCAGCACACAGATTTTGTCGGCATGGTATCAGTTAAAGCTCTCAAGTTTCATAGAACAGAGCCTTACGAACAGGGTATTTGGGCCAGTCCTAACCCAATATATTCAGTCAGCATGAGAAAACAGCATTAAGTTGGCAAAGCAAGTTAAGCAGTACAGTCAACTAAAATGACAAATCCTTTAAACTGGTGGAAATATTTAAGACATTCAAAGCCATTAATACTATGAGAATATCAAACCAATTTAAAACTTCTGGCTGCTTCCATCACTTAAGGAAAACCATTTTTGTGGAGCTAGCTTCATTTATTTATTTATTTTTAATGTTTATTTCTGAAAGAGAGAGACAAAGCACGAGCAGGGAAGGGCAAAGAGACAGGGAGACACAGAATCTGAAGCAGGCCCCAGGCTCGGAACTGTAGCACAGAGCCCGATGTGGGGCTCAAACTCACAAACTGCAAGATCATGGCCTGAGCCAAAGTTGGGACACCCAACTGGCTGAGCCCCTCAGACGCCCCTGTGGAGCTGGTTTAGACGACCTTATTAGTCTGCACACACAAAATTGTGCAGACACCCACACTCAGCACTGTGTTACCTTACACTCCCCTGTGTTTGGAAGAACAGTGTCCACCTGATAATAAGATGACCATCTAGGCATGGTTACATTAAATGCTATTTGAAAAATGAAAACTATCTTAAATACATGTCTTAATCTGAATAGTTTAAGCGCTCTTTTGGTTGTTTCTGTTTTGTTTTGTTTTTGTTTTTGTTTTTGTTTTTGTTTTTGTTTTTGTGGTAGATTTTCCACTGCTGGGCCAAACGAGTACAACCGCCGCTCACACTCACTTGGGGAGGATGTGTCTAAGCTCCTAACCCCAATTCTGGCGAACAGGTCTCCTCGGGACACCTTAGCACCCAAACGTCTCATTCCTTCCTTCTTTTCACTTCTATTTCTCCATAAGCTCCACGAAGGAGGGGATCGGTACCTGGGTGGCCCCCGCCCAGCAGGAAGCAGCTGAAGTCAAGTGGCAGCCCTGCGTGGCTCCCTGCCTCCACCGGGTCCCAAAGCAACAGGAGCTCTCAAACACAATTCAGATCCAAAGTTCTCCAAGTGAACTAATCGCCTTAAAAATACGATTTAAAAACCCTCCTGTTTTCAGAGATCCTCACAATAAATGTTTCAAGGAAGTTATTATTTAAATCCATTGATAAACGAGACAACAAGGACTCAGATTACTCCATTAAAATTGCTTAAAGGCACACGACTCTTTTTGGAAAACTAAGATTACAATCTTGTTTCACTAACTATCAGCCTTTTCCCCCCAACCTACAAGGCATAATGTAGAAGCCTGGTGCTTTCTGGTTATAGAATATTTTATTCCCATTTTGTAAGAACAGAGGCAACACAGTTATGGAAATATTAACATGCTCTGACTCAGAGTATAACTCATTTCCTTGCTTTTATACCGCTGTATATCTGAACAGTGATGTCACACACTATATGTGTGCCTCACAGCTGCCAGAGACCATGCAACCTGGTCCAGTGAGTGGCTCCTGGATTCTACGTGTTCCCCTGCCCACCCCCCACCCCCCACCACTTTCCTTAACAGCCAGGCAAAGGTGTATGACCACCAGCAACACAGGCTAGGAGCGAAGGTTCAAATAAAATGCAATGGTAGGAAAGAAAACCCTTCTAATTTCCTCAGCTTAAAGGGAGAATTTTATAGCAATCTGTGGAGAGTCAGAGGAGAAGGGTCTACCTTATCGTGAGCGATCAGAGTTCTGGCACGGGTACAACAGCCTTCCAGCTGTGGCTACACCTCCTGCAGCCCAGCCACTCACCCCTGCGCCCTCAACCACCAGTTCCACAGGGCTTAACTGTGGACCCTTTAGGCCACGGCAACAGCTTCACGTATTTGGGCTACAACAAAACCAGAAAACATCACTACTCTCGTGGGACTATGGTCCAGTGGAGTCAGACAGACAGCAGATAACAAACATAAATAAATTCTATAGTATGTTATCAAGTAGTAGTGAGATGAAAAGAAAACTGCTAAATTGGGAACCACAACAATGAAAACAGGACCTACAAAAAGCCAGTGGCCTAAGGTTGACTAAGTCCAAGAACTGTAGTCTTGGGTTTAATTTATTTAAAAACTCAATCGGGGGCACCTGGGTGGTGCAGTCGGTTAAGCGTCTGACTCTTGGTTTCAGCTCAGGTCATGATCTCATGGTTTATGAGTACAAGCCCTGCATCGGGCTCTGTGATGACAGCATGGAGCCTGCCTGGGACTGACTGACTCTCTCTCTCTCTGCCTTTCACTGCACTCTCTCTCTCAAAATAAATAAATCAACTTTTTAAAAATGAAGAGGAAAAAAAAGAAAAACTGAATTACACGTGCTGCACTAGGACAGATCCTGGGGACTTACAGTGGGAAGCGCTGGTGTGTCCTAAGGCGGGACCAGGGGGGATGCGTATCCTAAGGGTGGATGGAGGGGGGGAAACACATGTCCTAAGGTGGGACTGGGGGTGGGGGTGGGGAACACGTGTCCTAAGACAGGACCAGGGGGCACATGTGGAGAGCAACCAGAGGCCACACGTGGCCGTCAGCAGCAGCAGCGTGTAGACGGGGTGCAGGGCTGGGCCGGGAGAGGTTGGCTAGGACACATGGCTGGTGTGGAGGGAGGCGGGCGGAGCTTGGTGAGGGCCCCCTGCAGACTTTTAACCAGTTTTGTTACGAACATTCAAATGATTGCCTACTGTTGCACCCTCATTACAATAAAAGTAATGGAGTTTTCACAGGAGAGCTACCAGGGAACGTTTAGGCTGCAAAAGACGGCTTAACTTTCCTTTAACACGGACAGCCTGGACTGACACTGTGCTATCAGACTGTAAAGTCCCGGAGGACAGGACCAGTCTGTTTGTCATTACAATATTTTACACGTGCTTTATTGTAGAGTTAATCCTTACTGGATTGAATTCTAGAGCGGGAAGCCCAACAGAAGTTGAAGATTTTTATCATTCTGTACCAAAAGTTACATTTCCAAATATGTTGTGTCCCTAAGATTCCTATTTTTGCATTAGAAAAGATTGTTTTGTACAAGTTGTTTCATCCTGAATCTTAACTTGGATTTTTCACATAGGAAATACAATCTACTTCTGCTGACCTTGTACTAAAGAGAGCAATGAGTTTGAGACTGGAGTCACACTTGGTAATACTAGTTTTAGACCCAGATAAACATCAAAAATTAATAAAATACCTTAATCTGCAGCTTTGCTTCTTGCAGTCGGCCTTTCCACGAAGCTACAAATTTCAGGCTATCTACAGAACAGCCCATCGCCCTGGAAAAGTAAAGCGTCAAATGTCAGCAAAAATAATCCTCAACAATTAAACTACCAAGAGTAACGGAAAACAGATAATTCCCTATTTATCTGTAATTGAAATATTCACAATGTGCAAGTAATCAGAGCTCTTAAACGATGCACAGTATCTTAGGCTTCCTACTAAGTTTGTCAAGTTAACCAGTAACGTCAGTCTCCTCTTCAAGGCAGCACAAGTCCCTTAAGCATTCGGCCTTTCGTTTTTATTCTACCGTCTCCGTTTGACCGTGACCCTGAAATGCAGGCCCGTGGTAAGTGTCTCATAAATGCTTATCAGTTGAGCTGAAATGTTGGTATTTATACCACGATCCTAACGCACTACAAATTGAAATCCCCCAAGTCTGTAAACAACAACTAAATTTGGTTCAGTTTATTTTTCCACCGTGCAGCTCTTTAATTACATTCTAATTTATTGAAAAAAAAATCAGTGTATACAGGACACAATCATCCAAGTGTGTTTTAAAAAAGAGCTCGATCTTAACTACCAAATCCTGCCCCCCACCAAGAATCCTGGTCAGCAACGTCCAACAGAATTTTCTGCAGAAATAAAAACATCTTCATGCAGCGCAAAGTGGTAGCCACTGCGCAACCGGATGTGGCTGGTGTGAGTGAGAAATTACATTTTTACTTTTACTTCGTGTTGACCCCTTTAACTATACATGGCTCCATAGCACCTCCACCAGTCCTATCAGACAAGGCATGTCCGGATCAATCAGCAACATTTAAAAACCAAATTTCACCTGCTTCAATTCTAATAAAAAGCATCGTCATTAAAAGCACTGCTTTTTAAACTCAAAGTTAACTGTGTTAAGAAATGTCAAGTATTAGGAAATAACACGACTCCCTTAATTCAATAGTCGGTTTACTTCTTGACAAGGAAGGACAGTAAGCGGAGACCTTCACTTACCGTGCAGTTTCCTGGCGAAGAGCATTGAGAAACGTGTCTGGGTGGAACAGTTCTGACAGGTCAAGTGTATCAGAGAGAAGAGCCTGTTTCTCGGCTCTCTCTACCCAGCTCTAGAGGGGAAAAAAGAAGACAGAAACCCATTTAAAAACTCTGTAAACTTGAAAGACAAACTATTAAAGAACTCTTATGCAAAAGTAACATTTAATAAGACAATTATGCCGTTTCAAATTGCTTTGAAATAGTCTGGAAAAAAAAAGAGATTTCTACTTTACACTGTGAAGTCTATTGTACTCTTTTTGACATATTTATCCATCATAAAAAAAGCTTCCTTGCACAACCTTCTGCTGCTAAAAATCCACTCAAAATAAAATGTCTAAAAGATGAAAAATAGCGTAACACACAGCATGTCAGCGTGGGCTGGCGCCTCGCCTGGTCCTGGGCGGTCACCCCCAGTATGCTCAGCTGACCAACGGAGCACTGGGTGTGCAGCTGGAATCCTCAGGGCTTCCAAGTCCTGGAAATGCGACTCAGCTGGGGTCCAGTTCCAGATCTCAGTGTAAATTTGCCCCCTCACTGAATCAAGCGTTAGAGAGGAGGGTAATGTCCAAGAAGAAAGGATTCTGTGTTAAAAGGTGTTTTTGAACAGACTTTTCTTCTTATCTGGCATTTTATAAATCCATTTATACTCCATTTGATGAAACACACATCACCATCAAGTATATGAGTAAAATAAAAAATTACCATTTGGAACAAATAACAAAAACAACAAAGTCTTGTGCAACACTTACTATGTGCTTTCCTTGTATTAACTCATTTTATGCTCAGGACAGCACTGGAAGTTAGTGTGGTACTCGTTTTATAGTCAAGTGAGGAAACGGAGGCAGAGGAAATAAATTCGGGAGCCTTAAGTGATTTGTTTCTCTGCAATACCCCTGGCAGGTGCTCAGGTGACTTTAGAGGAGGATACCTTCCTGGTAACGTCTCAGTTGGTCTGTCATCTCAGCTTGTGCACAGAAATGGTACCAGGGTAACGTTGTGGGTACAAACTTGCAGAAACGTCATTTACTCAGTAATCCATTTTGTATGATTTATAAACAGTCTAGGGAAAACTGTATTTATTTAATTTATAACTGTACAGAAAAGCTGTGTTTCATGCACTGTAATACCCTGCATTTACACCTGTCAGCCAGGTGTGGAACAGGAGAAACTAAACTCTCCAAACCTACTGTTTGCATTAACATCTTAACGCACTTGACTAGTCCTTCTACTCCACAGCAAAAATGTTCCTATGTCCCTACCGTCAGTTGAAAATATGCTTATTTAAAAAGCAGAAACAACTTAAAAGAGAGCCCTTTAACAGACTACAATGATTTCCTCTTGGATATTATCCTTTAAAACAGTAACACTTCATATAGTACCTATTTTCAATCAAGTACATTTAAATTATTCATTGTTTATTTTGTTTACTCCATATGAAATGTTATTATCTCTGCCTTCTATTTTCATTAGCTGAACACAGCTAACAAATTATGCTTGTGTGATCTTTTAAGTAATATTTAAAGCATACATATTTCAAATTAATACTATCATTCAATTAATTTCTTAAAATTAAATTTTAATTCAAAAATTTCAGAAGAGTTCTTGCCAGTAACAGATGCACATATGTTCAAATTAATTAAAAATTAAAGTGTGGCTGATAATCAGATTTTTACTTCAAGTCTGAATTAATAAAATAGCAAAAACAGGAAAAGCCTCTATAGTACAAATGTTTTTATTCGCCCGTTAAGTGGCAGTGGGGGATCTTTTTGGTCTGTTAATCTTAAAGGTAGACTAAAGGAAAGGCATATTTGGTAAGATAAAGTTTAAATAACAAAGATTCTTTTAATATGTATACTGTCTTTGAATAGCAAACTTCACAGTAAAGGACACAGTGAAAGACATTTGAAAGATTACACTTAAACCTGCACATGGATGTTTACAGCAGCTTTATTCCTAACTGTCGACACTGGGAAGCATCCAAGGTGTACTTCAGCAGGAGGATGGAGGAATAAAGCGTGGAGCATTAGACAACAGAATATGACTCAGCACTAAACAGCAAGGAGCTATCAAGCCATGGAAAGACATGGGGAATCTTAAATGCAAAGGACTCAGTTAAAGAAGCCAATCAGAAAAGGTGACATTAGTATATGATTCCAATAACATAACCACCTTCTGGAAAAAGTCAAACTATGGAGACAATAAAAAGGGCAGTGGTTAGCCGGGGTAGGGGAGGAGAGGATGAACAGGCGAGGATAGGGAATTTGCAGGACAGTGAAAACAGTCTGTAAGGTGCAGTAATGATGAGTATGTATCATTATGTATCTGTCCAATCCCATAGACTGAAAATACCAACGGCAAATCTGAAGGTAAACTGTGGACACTGGGTGATTATAATGCGTTGATGTAGGTTCATCCTCTGTTAAAAAAAAAAAAAAACAACCCCAAAAGTTCCCCTCTGCTGAGTGATGTTGATAATGGGAGGCTATTCATGTGTGGTAGCATGGGGTATATGGGAAATGTCTGCACCGTTCCCTCAATTTTCTCATAAACCTAAAACATCTAAAACAGTAAAGGCTGCTTTATGTATTTATGTATGCATGTAATTTTGAGAGAGAGTGTGCATGCTCACCTACCTGAGTGGGGGAGGAGCAAAGGGAGAGGGAGAGAGAGAATCCCAAGCAGGCTCCATGCCCAGTGTGGAGCCCAACATGGGGCTCATTCTCACCACCATGAGCTCATGACCTGAGCCAAAATCAAGAGTCAGACACTTAACCACTTGAGCCTCCCAGGTGCCCCAGTAAAGGCTATTTTAAAAACATTTAAACTCGGGGCGCCTAGGTGGCTCAGTCGGTTGAGCATCTGACTTTAGTTCAGGTCATGATCTCACAGCTCTGAGTTCGAGCCCTGCGTCGGGCTCTGTGCCGACAGCTCGGAGCCTGGAGCCTGCTTCGGATTCTGTGTCTCCCTGTCTCTCTGCCCCTAACCCACTCGCATTCTATCTCTGTCTCTCTCAAAAATAAACAAACATTAAAAAAAATTTAAAGAAAGCATTTAAACTCATTTTTAAGAATAGAAATAAAGACACAAGTATAATAATCTTTAATGAGCAGCAATATGCACATATGGATTGGGCTTTCAACAAAGTTGTAGGTGTATTAGTTGAAAAATATTTCTCAGTAAGTGTTTTTCTTTCCCCTTGGCTATTAGCCACTTTCTTTTTAAAGGATTAAATCTGAGAATGAATGAAACATCTGGGTCTCTATGATTATGAAACTGTTTACCTCTAATTCTTCAAATGATCTATAATAAATGTAATTACGGAGATACGCAAATAAAGGGTTGGGTGAGTTTTTGAACACTGTGTGTGTACACACACACACACACACACACACACACACACACACACTTAGAATTACAGGCAGTATAACTTCGAAACTGGAATGATCCACAGAGATCATCTAGTACAGTTCCCTTATTAGCACACAAATATGATGTTTTCCTAAGCAATTTAGGACAGTTTTAAAATAATGCAATATTTGGGATGCCTGCGTGGCTCAGTGAGTTGAGTGGCTGACTGCAGCTCAGGTCATGATCTTATGGTTCATGGGTTCAAGCCCCGCATCAGGCTCTGTGTTGAAAGCTCAGAGCCTAGAGCCTGCTTCACCTTCTGTGTCTCCCTCTCTCTCCGCCCCTCGCCCTCTTGCACCCTGTGTCTGTCTCTCCAAAGTAAAATAAATAGGGGCGCCTGGGTGGCGCAGTCAGTTACGCGTCCGACTTCAGCCAGGTCACGATCTCGCAGTCCGTGAGTTTGAGCCCCGCGTCAGGCTCTGGGCTGATGGCTCGGAGCCTGGAGCCTGTTTCCGATTCTGTGTCTCCCTCTCTCTCTGCCCCTCCCCCGTTCATGCTGTCTCTCTCTGTCCCAAAAATAAATAAACGTTGGAAAAAAAAATTAAAAAAAAAAGTAAAATAAATAAACGTTAAAATAAAATAAATAAAATAAAATAAAATACTGCAATATTTTATCAAAAAATATGCTAGTGATGGAAGCAGAACTTATGAATTCAAATGACATTCATTCACTCATTTAGAAGCATTTACTGAAAGCAAGGAGCCTATTATCTTGTTAGAGGAGATAAAACATGCACAAATGACTGATAAAAAGTATTAAGTGGAGACAGTCCAAGAAGATGCTGAATTTACCTCCTCCCACAGACACACAAAATCTGCATGCACCTATAGAGTAATTCCTCCTGGAGAAGAGCTGAGGACCAAATGAAAAGCTTCTGTACAATAAACAAAAAAGAGACTTATAGAGAAGGGCAGAAGACATGCGAAACAAGATAATGATGGAACCTCATTCCCAATGTGAAGACTGGCAGTGTTGGGAGGTATCACTGAGGGGGCCTGCCCTCACAAGTGCCAACCCTGGGACAGAGCAACAAAACAGCGGTTTAAAGGGCACATAGACTAATACGGAAAGAAGACATTCTCAACATAATAAAGGCCATATATGGCAGACCCAGAGCTCACATCATACTCAATGGTGTAAAGCTGAAAGCATGTCCTCTAAGATCACAAATAAAACAAGATTGTCCACTCTCCCCACGTTAATGTGACACAGTACTAGAAGTCCCAGCCACAGCAATTAGGCAAGAAAATGAAATAAAAGGTATCTGAATTGGAATGGAAGACTTAAAACTGTCACTATTTGCAGATGACATGATGCTATATATAAAAAACCCTAAAGATGCCACCAAAAAACTATCAGAACTATAAATGAATTAAGAAAAGTCACAGGATGTAAAACTAAGAAACCCAGAAATTTGTTGCATTTTTATACTTAATAATTAATTCCAAGAGAAGTTAAGAAAATAATCCCATTTATAATTATATCTAAAAGAAAGAAATACCTAAGAATAAATTTAACCAAGGAGGTAATACACCTGTACTCTGAAAATTGAGATATTTGATAACAGAAACTACTGAAAACACAAATAAATGGAAAGATATGCCATGTTCATGGATTAGAAGAATACTGTTAAAAATGTTTGTGCCACCCAGGGGCACCTGG